ATGATAATAATAGTTCAAGTCGAGAAAGAAAGCGATAAATTAAAGGATGAGATGAGAGAGAGGTGGTGGGGTGCGAGCCTAGAAGCCCGCCTTGATCTTGTTGACGGCGTTCGTGAGGTGCATCATCTCGAGGTGCAGCTGGCTGAGCAGGCCCTCGAGGCCCTCCACGCTGTCGAGCACCTCGACGCGCTGCGTGTGCGGGTTGAAGCGCACCTCGTACGGCCTGCTCATGGTGGACACCCACTTGCGGAACTTCTGCTTGGCGTCCTCGAAGCTCTCGGCGACGTAGTAGATGGGCTGGTACTCCTGGTCCTGGTAGGGCTGCAGGGCCGTGCTGGCGGGCTCGAAGGGTCGGTGCTCGGGCTTGTCGCTCACGGCGTGCAGAAGCTCACCGTAGGCCGACAGCAGGCCCGCGCCGTACGCCTTGACGACGCCCTTCTCCTTGCACAGACCGAACTCCACCGTGAACCAGTAGACGGTGGACAGCTTCTCGATCTCGGCGTCGGACGCGCCCAGCGACGCCAGACCGATCTCCTGGGAGAACTGGGCGAAGCTGGGGTCGGCGAGCAGGGGCATGTGTCCAATCAGCTCGTGGATGCAGTCCCTGTGGGCAGAAAAGAAGGACAGCTTTTAAAACGCTGTGCGCAGGACACTAAACGGTACGTATCGAATTCGGAAATGAATTCTCTGACATTGATGCTTCACTTGTCCACACAATGTCTTTTAGAGACGGCACTGAATTTATTAGCGAAATGGCGACATCGGCCCAACATTGCCACCTCTTCCCCCGCCTCCCCTCCCCGCTGCCATCACGATCCAATACGTACATAACTCAATTCAGTCGAGTGGAAGTCGCTAGAGGATTGGGGAGGGCGGCAGGGGAGGCGGGAGGGGCACTGAGTGAAGGTGGGCATGCGGTGGTGGGAGGGGAAGACGGGAGGCGGAGGGGGAGGGGAGGCCCGGCCGATGAGGCGGGGACGAAGTCACTCTCTGATCGCCTTATTCAATTACGTGTACGGGGATGGGGAGAGGAGGAAAAGTAGCTCGAAGGAGCTGCTATCATTCCCCAAGAAGATGAAATTAAAAATAGGAGTCGCGGAGTGACTCTGTCGAGTGGGGGCCAGCAGCGCAGGTCATTGCGCCCCGATGATGGAATTATGCAAAGCGAGGAATATAAAAAGCAATAATAAAAAAGGTACTCACGGCTCGGGTGTGTGGAAGGGCGAGGTGGGGTGGCGCACGTACTGCGTGCTCTGGAACACGCGGAAGGCGAGGGAGGCGAGGAAGTCGCGCGCGGTCAGCAGGCCGGCGGCGGGCCGCAGCGTGAAGCCCGTGTGGCGCTGCAGGAAGTCGGACATGTCCTTGAGCTGGGGAATGGCGCCCTCGCGGAAGATGCCCTCATCCTGGAGCAGCTGGAAGACGCGGTTGTACTCGGCGCAGGCGTGCTTGGGCAGCAGGTCGACGACGGTGCGGAACACGGAGGTCCAGGTGGAGATCTCGTCCTCGTTGTACTCGATGTGCGGGATGGGGTCGCCGTACTTGTAGCTGAAGGCGATCTCGGCGATCTTCTTGCGGCGCTCGCGGTACGCCTTGTCGGCGAAGCCCGGGTGGTTCATGTCGAGCTCGGGCTCGTACTTGGTCATGAGGTGGTTGCAGTTGTCCAGGTCGCGGGCGTGGCGCGGGAACCAGGCCTCCTTGGCGTCCACCTTGTTCTCGCTGAGCAGGGTGACGCCGGCGAGCGCGCCCGACTGGCGCAGCGAGCGCAGCAGCTGCAGCAGCGCGGTGCGCGCCATGTCGAGGGTGACGAGGATGTCGAGCTGGCAGCCGGGGGTCTTGGAGGGCCGCGACTCGAGCTGGACCACCGTCCCCTTGAGGTTCTGCAACGACCGGACCGCACTCATTAGCGCTGCTATCGCGTGACCGGGCCGGGCCTCGGGCGGGCCGGGCGGAAGAGCCGGAAGGAAGGAAGTGGAGGACCTCGATGTGCCGGGCCGAGCCGGGCCGGGCCATCGTACTCACCTCCACGGTCTTGAGGATGCGGGACAGCGAGCCGCCGCTCTCCCTGATGCGCAGCACGAGTGACGCGCGCTGCACCGCGTTCTCGGCATCCTTGTTCTCGGCGGCGGCATTGGCCAGGAACACCTCCTCCTCGGTCAGTCCGGAGTCTGCGGAGAGAGGAAACGGGGTGGTCAGCATCTCGTCTCGCGTCATCCGGTGCACTGGAGTGCGCTGCGCCAGCGTCAGCCAGCGCCAGCCAGCGCCAGCCGAGGCTGTGAGCCTGCACAGCCCGCCTGCCCAGGCTCGCTGGCCTACGTGACCGGCCGCCGCGGGCCCCCGCCCCGCCCCGCCCCTCCCGACCTTGATTTACGCGAACAAGACTACTACTTCTACTCCTGCAGTGGCGTAGCTCGGCCAGCGCGGCAAGGCGAGGCACCTTGATCTTGGTACTCATTTCGTCGCGGGGCTCGCGGCCCTGAGCCGTACAGGTGCTCCACGCGCCCCTCCTCGCGCTTCCGCGATGCGCCGGACAGGGCGTGGCGGGGCGTGGCGGGGCGTGGCGGGCGGTCGGGCGCGGCATCGAGTGGAACTGCCGGGGACGAGCCCCGCACCCCTTGGAGCGACTAATTGCCCCTTCCTACCCCCGACCCCCACTAGAGAGCCCCCTAATTAGAGAGACCCCCCACCCCCAGCTTCCCTCTCTGCCGGGGCAGTGTTCCCGTCGGCGCGGAACCTTGATCCCACATCCGATCCCGCTGCCGCGCTCCTTTCAGCGCGGAATATAGTTGAAAAAGAGAACGAAATGGCGGGGCGCTTTGTCTTTTCACCGCCAGCAGCAGCCCGGCCGCTGGCTTTGTGTCGAGGCAAGTCCGTGGGGCTCCGTCGTCCCGCTCCAGCCCACAGCCGCACCTCCAGGCCGCCGCCGGGCCAGCGCCACCCCCGGCGCGCGGGGCGCGGACGGGCGCTAGAGAGAGAGAGGGGCGGAAGGAAGTGGTTAGGGCGCCGGGCGAGCCCCGCGGCGGCGGCGGCCCGCCCCCAGCCCCCGCCCACCCTCGCCGTCGTCGACGTACAAAAGCCCTGTGGTGGCCGACTGCACGAGTGCCCTGCCTGCCCTGGCCTCTGCTCTGGACCCTCAGCGGAAAGCCAGCGCGGGGGACAACTTTTAAAAGTCGCGCCCACACCACCGCACAATGGTCAACCCACCCACTACCCGGCCGACGCCGCCCGGCACTTTGACGAGTGAATTTACTGGCCGCAACCCCGCCCCACCCTGCCACACGGCGCGCGAAAGAGAAGGATGGTGCCCCCGGGCCGCGGGGCCGTCGAACCCGCCCGCCGCCGGCAGCACACACCACACACACTCCTCTTAATCCGCGCGTCAAGATCGCCGCGGGTCGGACTGGCCACAGGACGAGTTCCGGAAGCAGAAAACAACGCGACGGGCGTGGGAACCGTGCCGCGTCCCCTACAAGGCGAGGGAGGCAATAATCCTGGCGGGCCGCGAGGCGTGGCGCCGCCGCGCTACTGCGTCGCGTGCCGGCTGACCGCCGAGGCGCCGCCGGAGGAGGAGAAGAAGGGGGAGGGGGAGGAGGAGGAGGCCTTGTAGGCGCGGCTCCGCGATCTACTACTACTCACCATCATCGTCGAGTGTCGTCTGCTGCTCGTCGTCGTCGTCGCTCTCGTCGGAAAAGACGGTCTGCTGTTCGTCCTCTACTCATGCCGAAAAGAAAACAAAAGAGAACGGAACGTTCTACGATCAGCTACAAGCGATGACTACTGTACAAGCAGCGCTACTGATACACACACAAAACAAACTTTTGGACATGCAATCTTCTCTGTCGCCATCTCGGGCCCGCGCGGTCCCCCGGCAAGAATGCACTACTAACTGGAATGCAACGGCCGGCTCCAAATCAGGAGCTGTGGTCTCCCCCCCAGTGTCCGTCCGCTCGTCGCCTTGAGCACCGCGGAGCACCGCCGCAACTCTGACGTCAGCGGCCTGCGGCCTGGCCTGCCTCGCATGAGCTCCCGCCCAGACCATTAAATCAGTCATCCCATCGAATCATTAAAATTACTCCCGTATAAAACAGGATCTGATCGGCGCGTTGCCGCCGCGGCGAGGCTTCCGCCCGCCGGCCCGCCGACCCGCCGCGGCCCGCCTACCCCACAGCTAGTGCCCCTGCCCCGCGCGGCGCGGCGCGGAGCTCCGGAGCGGCGGACCGAAACAGCCACTTGGGTTGTGCGAGGTCGCGGACCGCACATCGCCCGCCGCGCCGCGCGTCCGACTGTGAGCGGAGACGTTACGCAAGACGGGCGGGACGGAGTTTACCGGCGCAGCCCCAAGCATTCGGCTTTGCGGCTGGTCTTCGGCACCCCCTACAACCCCTTACAACTTTGTTTCCAATGATCCCTTTAGCTCCACGAGATGGCGACTGTGCTTGATTTGCATACAAAAACAAAACAAAAAGCAGATATCTAATTCTTACCGTTAGTCTCGTGTTCGTCGTCGATGGAGCGCGAGCAATCTTCGACCTCTTCGCCGTCGGAGCCAATCTGTGTGGTGAGCGAGTAGCAATAGTCGCAGGGGGCGTCGGCGTCTCTGCAGTCTAAACAAAGCGACAAGCATGCTGTAAACTACATCTACACATTTTAAAAAGCGCGCCAAACTACAGCATTCTAAGGAGTTGAATTGACTCTACGATCATTATGCGAAAAAAAAACAGCTAAATACTGCAAAAACTAATACTGCGAATCAAATACTCTATTCTATTCCTTCTCGCTACGAAATAAAACAAACTACTGCAGTGGAGATGATGCCTTAATCCTTACCGTTGCAGCGCTGGCGAGCCTCCTCGAGCACGCTCTGTTTGGTCTGCCTCACCACGAGGGACTCGAAGCGCGCGTCGTCCACCAGGGAGCGGCGGCGCGACGGGTACCCGTTCTGCAACAATGAGACAGACATCCAGGTTAGCGTCCTGCAGTTGCGCGTCCTCGAGGCGCGGGGGGCCCGTCCCGGCCGCGGCCGGCGGCGCCGCCGCGGGGGAGCGTTGGCCGAGGGGCGGGGCCCGGCGTGCCGCGGCGCGTGGCCGAGGGGCGGGGCCGGTGGGGCCCCGGGGGGACCCGAGGGGGACCCGAGGGGGCCGCGGGAGGCGCGACGCTCCTGGACGTGGTCTGGTCGCCCTTGAGGCGCCACTACATTCCTGTATCATCACCTCCGCGCACGGCTGCTAATTTTCCAGCGGCCTTCAACCTATCAAACGCATGCGCTCCAGAACTGCCTGGCTGCCGAGCCCCCGCCGCCCGCACCGCGCAGCGTACCAGGACGCGTCGGAGGGGCTGCCTACCCGCACGGCTGCATCAGCGAGACGAGTCCTCCGCCCCCCCTCCCCCTCCGGCCCGCTGTGTACGGGGATGATCGCGCGCTTCAGATTAGAC